TTACACTCTCTCTTATAAGAGTTTCAGTGTGACTAGATTTATATTGAGGTCTTTGATCAATTTGTACTTAAATTTTGTTCATGGTGATATATATGGACCTATCTGCAATATTCTACATGTCAGCATCCAGTTATTCTAGCACCATTTATTAAAATATTTTCCATTTCATAATTTTAGTTTTTTGTCAAATATTAGATGTCTGTATGTATATGGATTAATGTCAGGGTTTTCAATTATTTCCATTGGTGTATTGCCTGCTGTATAGACCAATACCAAAGCTGGGTTAATTAATATAGCTCTATAGTAGATCTTGAAATTAAGAATGGGGATGCCTCCAGAAGAGCCTTTATTGTACAGGATTGTATTGCCTATCCTGTTTTTGTCTTATAAATTTGAGTATTTTTTCTTTCAAGTCTCTGGAACTTTGATGGGGATTGCATTGAATCTGTAGATTTCTTTTGGTAAGATTAACATTTTTCCCGTATTGATCCTACAAATCAAACAGCTTAAAGATTTTTCCATTTTCTTTGTTCTCTTTTTAAATTTCATTTTTTAAATATTCAATGCTCTTGTCATACAGGAAATTCACTTGTCCGTTTAGACTTACCCTAAGATATTTTATGTTGTTTATGGCTAATCTAAATGTTGATGCTTCTCTGATTTTTTCATCCCATTTTTCAATTATATATAGTAGGACCTCTAATATTCTGTATTTAATCTTCCATCATGCCAAATTGCTAAAGGTGTTTACCTGATGTAGGGATGCCCTGTTGGAACTTTTCTGTTCACTCATGTAAAAAAAATCCTATCATCTGCAAATAATGAAAATTTGACTTCCTCCTTTCTAGTTTGTGACCACTTGTTGTCCTATTCCTCTATTTAGAGCTTCAAGTACAAGATTAAAACGTATGGAGTGTACAACCTTGTCTTGTTCCTGATTTTAAAGGAATCACATTGGGTCTCTCCATTTTTTTATGTCAACTGTTGGCTAGCCATACATTTCTTTTATCTAGTTTGATATGTTCCTGTTATCCCTGTTCTCTCCAAGACATTTATAATGAAGGGTGTAGGATTTTGTTGAAGGCTATTTCACCATCTAGTGATACGATCATGTTTTTTTCTTTCTCTGTTCAGTTTCTTCTTACGGTGGATTACTTTGGCAGATAATTGTGTGTTGTGTAATTACTGCATCTCTGGGATGAAAACTTCTTGATCATTTTAGGATGGATTTCATTTGCCTGCATTTTTGAGTATTTTTCATGAATTTTTATGAGGGACTCTGTAGGTTCTCGTTCTTAATCATGTATTTGTGTGTTTTGTGTTCCAAGTTAATTGTAGCTTCCTAAAAACAGGTGGAAATGAACCTTTTACTTCCATTGTGTGGAATAATTTGAGCAATATTGGTATTAGCTCTTCTGTGAATTACTGGCAGAATCATGCATTGAAGGCATCTCGCCATGTCCTTTTTATGTTTGGGACACATTTGATGATGGCTTATTATTCGTTAGGTGCTATAGGTCTTCTTAAAATGCATATCTCTTCTTCATTTAATTTTGGTAAGTGATATCTATCCAAAACTTTTCCATTTTCTTTGAGTTTTCCAATTATGTGGAGTCCAGTTTTTCAAAGTATCCTCTGATTGTCCTATGGATTTTTTAAGTGTTTGTTGTCTTTTCATTTCTGATTTAATTAATTTGCATGCTATATTTGCCTTTTGGTTAGTGTAGGTATGTCTATCTTATAGATTTTCTCAAAGAACAAACTCTTTCTTTCAATGATTCATTGTATTGTTTTCTTTGCTTGTACATTATTAATTTCAACACTCATTTTAATTTTCTGGCATCTACTCCTGGGTGAGTTTGATTATTTTTGTTCCAGAGCTTTAAGTTATGCTGTTAAGTCACTAATGTAGGAGTTCTCCATTTCCTTTATGTATGCACTTGCTGCTATAAACCTTCCTCTTAGTGTTGTTTTTAATGTATCCCATGAGTTTGGTTATGTTGTGGATATATTTTCATTTTGTTCTCAGAAGTTTTAAATTTTTTTCTTTATTTCTTCATTGACTGAGGATGATGCAAACAAACACTGTTCAATTTCAGGATGTAGGCAGTTGTCAATGTGTGTTTTTGTTGAATTGTAACTTTAAACAATGGAGATGTGATGTTATACAGGGTGTTGTTAAAATTTTATTTTATCTGCTAAGGTTTCTTTGTTCCTGACTATATAGTCAATTTTAGAGATGAGAAGGTACATTTTTTTTAATTTGGAGAAATTTTTTGTAGCTGTCTTTTCCTCGCATTTGAGTCAAATCGTCTGTTAGTTCCTTTATTTCTATGTTAAGGTTTTGTCTGGTTGTCTTGTTCAGTAGCAAAATTGGGGTGATAAAATCTTCCACTATTTTTATGTAGGGCTTAATGAGTGACTTAAGTTTCAGTAATGTTTCTTTTACAAATGTGTGAACCATTTTATTTGTGGCACAGATATTCAGAATTGAGACTTAATCTTCATGGATTTTTCCCTGTGTTGAATATGAAATGACTTTCTTCACTTTTGGTTAATTTTTGTTTGAAGTCTATTTTATTAGATATTACAGTAGATACACAAGCTTTTTTCTTAGGTCCATTTTGCTGGATAAACTTTTCTTAGCACTTACTCTGAGGTAATATCTGTCTTTGAAAATGAATTGTCTTTCTTGTATGCATGAGAATGATGGAGTCTCTCTTATACATTCTGTTAGTCTGTGTCCCTTTTCTTTTATAGGAAAGCTGAGACTATTGATGTTAATAGTTTATTTATGACCATTTATTTTTGATTTCTATTATTTTTGTATTTGTTTTTAATGGTGGTAATGTGAACATGTGTGTGTTTCCCTTTTGTGGGGATTTTGACAAAATGGTAATATTTATTACGTATGTATTTGAGACTATAGCTAGCTTCCTTACATAGAGTTTTCTATCCAGTACATACTTTTTGGCTGGATTCGGGTATATGTATTTTTTCAATAAGGATTTGTTATAAATTATCTAATTTTCTCCATCTACAATAACTGAGAACATGGTGGGAGTAGTCTGGGCTGGACTCTCTTTTGTACTCTTCCCTTATGAACATGTATTTAGGACCTCTTGGTGTCAGGAGTAATTGTGATAAGTGTACTCTCATATTTTTTGGCCTTTTTCCATTGAAGCTTTTAGTATTCTTTATTTGCTATGTATATTTTATTTTTTAATATTATTTGTGAGCGAACTATTTAGGTCAAGTCTATTTGGTTTTCTGTAAACTTCTTGTCCTTTCATAGGCATTACCAACTTTGGGTTGGAAAAGGTTTTTTTAAATATTTTTTTATTTATTATGTATACAATCTTCTGCCTGCATGCCAGCAGAGGGCATCGGAGCTCATTCAATGTGATTGCCGGGAATTGAACTCAGGACCTTTGGAAGAACAGTCAGTTCTCTTAACCACTGAGCCATCTCTCCAGCCCGGGAATGTTTTTTCTATGATTTGGTTGAATATGTGTTCTGTGCCTTTGAGCTGGACATCTTCACATTCTTCTATAACTATTATTGTTAAGTTTGGCCTTCCCACAATGTCTTGAATATTTTATGCTAAGAATTTTTGAATTTAGCATTTTCTTTGGTTTTATGCTTGAAGTCTTAAGTATCAGTCTATGATAACTTGAAATTCAAGGGTTACAGATGGGACAGGGAAAAGCCAGAGTATAATCATTACACATAATATTAATCTTCACAAGTATTTTAAATGAAGATACGTATGCCTAGTCATAAGATTACTGCTAGATTTTGGGGATTTTTGTTTGTTTGTTTTAGTGTGATCACCATAAAAGCCACTACTTCCTTAATGTGTCACATACTTACATGGCATAATATTGGAGGAAAGTACCAAATAACATATATTATTGAAGAATTTCTATATAAACTTAGTATTATTTGCCTCTCAAAACTTCATTTTTGTACTAACCATCCATTCATCATAAGTGAAGAATGTTATGAAATTTCTGTTTCCCAATCAATAGTATCCTTCGTCTGACAAATCCCTTATCCCTTATCAAATACACCTATTGAATATGAGCAAAATAAATTACCCCATGCCATAGGTTATGTACCATATTACATGTTTAATGTAACATGATGTGATCTGAAATGATATATTCATTATCAATAATGCTGAATTAAAATTCTATAGTTTTGTATTTGTTTTGGGCAGAAACACAAACACACACTCACACCCACACACATATGCCTATATTTATTTGGAAAAATTATATATGTACCAACAACAATTATCAAATTTTGGTTAAATTATTGATGAGGGAATATTGAAACATTTAGAATGAAAGCAATTGGGAAAACCCTGCTGTGAATTGATATAACTATATTTTCATTAAATTTACATTTAAATATAGTTTGTGAATATACCATGTAAACTCTGAGTTCTTATTTTTTTTGAAATTCTAAATTTCAATATACTTTGAAAACCCGAATTTTATAGAGTATGACTTTTACCAATTCATCAATATATTCTTAGGTAGCTAGTGAAACAGAAATCCAATATAATTATCATTGCTCAATGAGGTCCCTTTCCAATTATACATGTTATAAAATACAATTAAATGAAACTGCATTCTTAAAGTTAATCATGTTTGAACATTTAATTCCTTATGGCCATATTTGTTCATGATCATTTTATTGTTTTCTTTTTAATAATCACTCTTTTTGAATGACAATCTGTTAGCGTGCATTAATAATAATTAATTATAGGAAGTCTGTATGTGATTTTTTCATTTCTAACATTTTATAATTCATGTGTTTTGAAGGTTGTTATTGACCTAAATAAATAATACAATTTCAATGTAAATAGAACATTTTATTGTGATTCATCTTTTTGCTACAGTTCACATCGGTGTCCCTTTATGTATAAGTTTGTACATTATTCTTCCCAAAATTCCAGACATTCAGACATTATTTGCTTTCCTTTATTCCAGCTCTCTATTATTATCCATTTCAGGATTTGTTCCCAAAAGTGTCAACAGAGCATACTTGTCCAAGAAAAATATTAGGATATTTAGGAAGAAACAATGCTGAGAAATTACATAAAAGGAAGTTCTCTGCATGCAGATATGTCAATGAAGAGCCTCAATCGTATTTTGCTGGAAATACAAGAAAAGATTTCAAGTGCACAAAATGTTGCAATTCTTTTGCCCATAGGTTTTCTTGTCAGGTTCATCAGAAAACCCAAACTGGAGAAGAAAAGACTTTCATGTGTGAAGCATGTGTCAAGTCTTTTACTCAGAGTTCATTACTTCATGCTCATCACAGGATACTTAATGGAGAGAAACCTTACAAATGTTATATGTGTAGAAAGTTATTTACTGCAAACTCAAATCTTCAAATTCATCAAAGAACAAAAACTGGAGAGAAACCTTATAAATGTAGTATGTGTGGCAAGTCCTTTATTAAAGGCTCAAACCTTCAACAACATCAAAGAATACATACTGGAGAGAAACCTTACAAATGCTCAGATTGTGACAAGTCCTTTAAACAGAGATCAGCCCTTCAAGTTCATCAAAGAATACATACTGGAGAGAAACCTTACAAATGCTCAGATTGTGACAAGTCCTTTAAACAGAGATCAGCCCTTCAAGTTCATCAAAGAATACATACTGGAGAGAAACCTTATGAGTGTAAAGAATGTGGAAATTCCTTTAAAAAGAGATCAGTACTTCAAGTTCATCAAAGAATACATACTGGAGAGAGACCTTATAGCTGTAATGTATGTGCCAAATCCTTTACCACAGGATCATATCTTCATATTCATCAAAGAATACACACTGGAGAGAAACCGTACAAATGTAGTATGTGTGGCAAGTCCTTTAATGGAGGCTCAAAACTTCAAGTTCATCAAAGAATACATACTGGAGAGAAACCTTACAAATGCACAGATTGTGACAAGTCCTTTAAACAGAGATCAACATTTAAAGTTCATCAAAGAATACATACTGGAGAGAAACCTTACAAATGCACAGATTGTGAAAAATCCTTTAATCGGAGGTCAGCCCTTCAAGTTCATCAAAGAATACATACTGGAGAGAAACCTTACAAATGCTCAGATTGTGACAAGTCCTTTAAACAGAGATCAGCCCTTCAAGTTCATCAAAGAATACATACTGGAGAGAAACCTTACAAATGCTCAGATTGTGACAAGTCCTTTAAACAGAGATCAGCCCTTCAAGTTCATCAAAGAATGCATACTGGAGAGAAACCTTATGAGTGTAAAGAATGTGGAAATTTCTTTAAAAAGAGATCAGCACTTCAAGTTCATCAAAGAATACATACTGGAGAGAGACCTTATAGCTGTAATGTATGTGCCAAATCCTTTACCACAGGATCATATCTTCATATTCATCAAAGAATACACACTGGAGAGAAACCGTACAAATGTAGTATGTGTGGCAAGTCCTTTAATGAAGGCTCAAAACTTCAAGTTCATCAAAGAATACATACTGGAGAGAAACCTTACAAATGCACAGATTGTGACAAGTCCTTTAAACAGAGATCAACATTTAAAGTTCATCAAAGAATACATACTGGAGAGAAACCTTACAAATGCACAGATTGTGAAAAATCCTTTAATCGGAGGTCAGCCCTTCAAGTTCATCAAAGAATACATACTGGAGAGAAACCTTATAAATGTAAAGAATGTGGAAAGTCCTTTACTACAGGCTCATATCTTAAAATTCATCAAAGAATACACGCTACAGAGAAACCTTGCAATTGTAAGGTATGTGGCAAGTCCTTTATGAAAGTATCATCTCTTAAAGTTCATCAAAGAATACACAGTGTTGAGGCACCTTAAAATGTTCAGATTGTAGAAAATTCTTTAACCAAATCTCCACACTTCAATTTCACCAAGAATACACCCTGGACAGAAAGCTTACAATTGCATAGTATGTGCTAAGTCCTTCACCACATGGTAAAATCTTCAAGTTCTGCAAATAACACACACTGGAGAGAAACCTTACAAATGTTCAGATTGTGGAAAAAATTTTAAACAGAGGTCAACATTTCAAATTCATCAAAATATATACTGGAGTATATCCTTGCAAGTGAAATGCATGTGACAAGTCTTTTACGAAGGGCTCAATACTTATGTTTCATCTGAGAATATATAAAACAGAAATAGCAGAAAATATACAAAGTGTGGCCAGTTTTTGCCTATGATTCACATCTTTAAAGACACTAAATGACTGGAGAAGGCATAATATTTAATACTTAATGTGTATCTCAAATGCTGTGTCCTTTTCTCATGGATCATTTCTGCAAAATCTCACTACATCCAAACTTGAGAGACCACTTATAAATGTTAATCACATGAGAAATCCTTTATTGGGTCGTTAAATCTTAACGAATATCACAGAATCTATTCTAGATGAACACTGACAATTTTAATAAAAACGTAGGAACTTTTATGGAGTGCTTATATAGTCAAACCCCACAAATCATTAGTAATGGAAAGAATCCAAACAAATGTAGACTATTACAAAAAATTTTGAAGGGATGGTCAAAACCTAGAGCATTCTGAAAATACATGTAAGAGAACAACTCAATAGGGAATTACTGGCCCAATACTCATACAAAGATAAGGTGATTTATAATGTGTGTAGAAGAAGGAAACTTTTAGCATATGCTGAAAATTTATTCACAGTTAGATGATGGGCATTACTAATCCTTATGATCATTGTTGTTTTAAAAGCATTCTACCAAGTAATTAAATGGTTATTCATAAAAATATTGTTGGAAAATCATCTATATATGCAGTGATATATATCTCAGTACTACACTGAAATCAAATATTAAAATGATATGCGGTGAATTTAATAATAGTTGCAGGCAAAAATATTTGAAAATGTGAATACTTATCCTAGGGTAATTTTACTAATAACCATCCAATTCAACATCACTGTGAAATTTTCTGTATCTTTTATGTGAGAGTATATTGAACTCTTATTTATAATAGATTTGTATAACTATCATTGTGTTGCTAGTACTTGAAATTTTACAGAATGTCATATAGATTGTTGTTAACCTTTTGTGTATTACTATTTTCTCAATTATCAATAAATATAATATAAGTTGTTTTCAACTACTGCTTACTTGGAATGGTGAATATCCAATTTATACTAGTGTAGGCTAATAAGTGGCAGGAGTTGCAATATGAAAAATTGCCAGAAAGCATGACCTGAAAATACAGAACAAATGGCTTTAGGAAAACTATAAGAGATTGAATTATTACAAGTGTATGTGGGGAAAAAGACAGGCTGGTTATTTGAAGGCCTGAGTGGGTTTTTGAGTGAACTACAACTGCTGTCATGGACAGAGTTCGTTCCAAGACCAGACACTGAGAAAAAGAAAAACATTGCAATCTAACTGAAAACTAAATTTCCCCTCATTGACTAAGGTTATGAACATTACACATCCTCCTGTGTTTTTATTAATATGTCGATAGTTTATGTAAAATCTATCCAGCATATTTTGTTTACTTCAAATACTTAGTCCTCAACAGTTGAAGTATGTAGAGTCGGAAAGTACTAATATGAGCCAAGAATGCATACATGCTTTAGTTAATAACCCAGCCACTGAAATATCAAACAATATGTAATAAATCTTTGAATCTATTTAGATGAAGGAACTACAGACAGAGGGGTGTGGTTGATTCCAATCAGATGCCTGGGTACACATGATCCCAGCTTTTGAGTCCCTTTTATATCTATGCAAATTTTGTGCATGCTCAAACCAGTCCACTTATATCTATCACTTGAAACATACTGTACAGGAAATCAATGGCCAAATATACTCTATTCAAAAAAATATGTTATTTGAATGTTTGTAATGGATTGTAATCACAATTTCTCATTAAGAAAGAAACTGCTTGATTATTAAGTACTAATGATTCTGAGAGTAATACTTCCCCAACAATATTTTTGAGACAGAAATGAAGAACAACCGCTGGCAATTATATCTACTTTTAGACTATGACCTAGCAAATACGAAAATAGTCACCAGACAAGCAAATGCACCAGAAATGATTTTCAAAACTGGAAAAATGACTCAACAAACAGATGCCATAGCTTCATCAATGTATGCTCTCATACATTGTGTGTACATGTCAATTTTTTCATCTCTTTGTAAATTTGACAGAAATTTTATTTTCATCTTTCACCACACAGTCACATCTCTTTCCTCACATGAATCTTTCTTACATACATGTCACTCTTCTATAGAGGTATATTTGTTACATCTCTCTACCCACTTAGATACATCACTTCACACTTTTCTTGCCCTTCTCCTTAAGTCTTGCACACATCACTGTTCTCTCAGACTTTGCCTAAATACACTGCTTCATCCCTTGTACAACACTACTCATCCCTTTCTCAGGTCTCAATGCATACATATGTTCATTTCTTAGCACACATCTCCTGTTCTTTCTTGCATGATTCTCTGTCAACAAGTAGGTCTTTCTCTCCACCTCTCTCTCTTCCTCCTAGATACTCATCTCTTTACATAGGAAAAACGCTGAAGGGCATGTAGTAATATTTTCAGGGTCATAAATCATTTCTTCAGTAAACAATAAGACAGGATCATGAAAAAATATCATGAAAATGTCCCAGACTTGGAATATCACAGTGACCAGCCAATGAGCATCCTTGCATTCAGCCCTAAGTAACAAGTGTTCCCATACAGAGAGTGATATTCAAATTCAGGACATGATTATTGAGTGTTTGCCCTCTCTCATAACCCTCAAGGAATTAAGTGTTACTAACTCAGATAGACTAGTAAAAGTCCATGGACTGTATACCCACTTTAATCCCTGTGCTGCTGGAGGCTTGTTCTCATGACAGCGATAAGTTTCTATATGGTTGCTCAATTATTTGGAGCTCACAGCTGTCCATCTGTCCCTCAATCTTTATACTTTTGTCTCATCATGATCCCATTTTAATCAATACATACAAAATATTTTCCCCAAAATCTTAATTTTTGTTTAATTTTGAGTCTGTATTAATCTGTATGTCACAGTACCTGGAACCCATGATCATTTGTATTCCTCAGCTTTTAAAATTGTTCTTAATTATGAATCTTATTTAGAATGTAACATTCTTCCCTCTTTGCAAGTGGGTTCCAGGATTTCATTTCATCATTTATTAAGGGTATCTGCATCTGCTTCCATCAGCCACTTGATAAAGGCTCTAGGATGTCATATAAGGACGTTATCAATCTCAATATAGGGAAATTGCATTGTTCTTAACTGATGCTCTTATTTGGAATGTCTATGCTAAATAATGAGAAAGTTTGGAAGATTATGTATTTCCCTATAACAGAACTTATTAGGAAGGCTGTCTTATCATATTCCTTAAAATGATTATTTTGGGAAGTTTGATGCCAGTCTTAGTATAGGTAGACCAAGAATTTTTTGTAAAAAAGGAGGATGAGAGATACCATTAAAGAAGGAGTCACTCTAGGTTTCACGGGAGATCTGGCACTAGTGTGATCTCCAGAGATCTACAAGGATGACACCAACTGGCAAACTAAGCAGTAGTGGAGAGACTACCTCAAATGACCACTCCCTGATAATGATTTTGACAACTATCTTATATACCATCCTCGAACCTCCATCCACTGACAGAAGGAAGCAGAGGCAGAAACTCTCAGCTAAACATAGAACTGAACTCCTGGAGACCAGTGACAGAGAGGGAGGAGTGATGAGCAAAGGGGTCAAGCCTGGGCTGATGAAACCCAGAGAAACAGCTGACCTGAACAATGGGGGGATCTTGGACCCCAGACTTAATCCTGAGAGGTCAGCAGGGGACTGATCCAGACTCACTCAATTTAGGTGTCAGTGAGGAGAGCTAGGCAATCTATTGGGCTTTGGGTAGTAAATTAGTATTTATCCCTGTCACACAAATGGACTTTGGGTGCCCATCCCAAAATGAGGGATGATCTGTCAATCTGGACTCTTGTAGGTGGGCCTGGGCCCTCCCAGGAATGTTTAGATATGAGTGTATGCCTCTGCTTCCTTGTGTCACTGGGTGGAGGTTCTATGATGGTATGTAGGATAGTCGTCAAAATCATTATTAGGGAGGGACTTTTAATGTAGTCTTTCCACTACTGGTTAGTTTGCCAGTTGGTGTCATCCTTGTAGATCTCTGGAGTTTTCACTAGTGCCAGATCTCCCTTCAAACCAAGAATGGTTCCCTCTATTTTTGTATCTCCTTTCCTGTTCTTCTGGATTCTTATCCCAACTCAAACTGCTTGCTATCCCATGTACTTCTCTCACTTCCTCATCTCTCCCCCTCTTTTTACTTGCTTCATTTCTTCTCTCCCACACTGTGCTCCCAATCTGCTCAGAAGATCTTGCTTCATTCCACATTATCTGGGGTGTCATGCATATCTGTTAGGGTCCTTCCTTTTTCCATGCCTCTCTTGCAGTGGGATTGTATGCTGGCACTCCCCTGATTCATGTCTAAAATCCACATATGAGTGAGTACATACCATATAAAGATTTTGTGACTGGGTTACCTCACTCAGAATGGTTTCTTCTTGTGCGATCCATTTGCCTGCAAATTTCAAGATTCCATTGTCTTTTTCTGCTGAATATTTTTCATTGTGTAAATGCACCACATTTTCTCGATCCACTCTCCAGTTTAGGTGAAACGAGTTTGATTCCAGGTTCTGGCTATTACAAATAATGCTGCAATAAATATAATGGAACAGATGTCCTTGTTGTATGAATGTGCAACTTTTGGGTATATGCCTAAGAGTGTGATTGCTGGGTCTTGTGGTCCAGTGATTCCCTTTTTCCTGAGGAATCTACATACTGATTTCCATAGTGACTGCATTAGTTGGCACTCCCACCAGCAGTGGAGGAGTGTTCCCCTTTCTCCACATCCTCTGCAGCACAAACTGTCATTGGTGTTTTTGATTTTAGCCTTTTTGACAGGAGTAAGATGGTATCTCAGAGTTGTTTTGATTTGAATTTCCCTAAACGCTAGCAATGTTGAGCAATTTCTTAAGTGTCTCTAATCCATTGTAGTCTCCTCTATTGAGAATTCTCTATTTAGTTCTGTAGTCCACTTTTTAATTTGATCCTTTGGTGCTATGGAGACTTGCTTCTTGAGGTTTTGTAGAATTTGGAGATCCGCCCTCTGTCAGATTTGGGGTAAGTGAATATCTTTCCCATTCTGTGGGCTACCTTTTTGTCTTGTTGACTGTGTCCTTTGCCTTGGAGAGGCTTCTCAGCTTCATCAGGTCCCATTTATTAATTGTCATCTCAGTTTCTGTGCAACTGGTGTTATGCTCAAAATACGGTCTCCTGTACCAATTTGTTCAAGGGTACCTCCCAATTTCTCTTCTAACAGGTTCAATGTGAGTGGATTAATGTTTAGGTCATTAATCCCTTTGGATTTTTTTTTGCAGAGTGACAGGCATGGGTCTATCTGCAGTCTTCTACATGCCAGCATCCAGTTATACTGGCACCATTTGTTAAAGATGCTTTCTTTTGTCCCTTGTATAATTGTAACTTCTTTGTCAAAAAACAAGTATTCATATGTGAGTGGGTTAAGATAAAGGTTTTCTATTCGATTCCTTTGGTCTACATGACATTTTTGTGCCAATGCCAAGCTGTTTTCAGGACTATATCTTTATTATAGTTCTGGAAGTCAAGGATGATGATGCCTCCGGACGTTGCCTTGTTGGACAGTGTGGTTTTGGCTTTCCATATAATGTTGAGACTTTTTTTCAATGTCTGTGAAGAATTGTGCTGGGTTTTCAGTGAGTATAGCATTGAATCTATAGATTGCTTTTTGCAGATTTCCATTTTTACTATGTTGATCCTACCTATCCAAGAGAATGTGTGATCTCTCCATTTTTCTCGTGTCTTCTTTATTTTCTGTCTGTAAAGTCTCAAAGTTCTTGCTATGCAGGTCTTTCACTTGTTTGGTTAGCATTACCCCCAAGATAATTTATGATGCTTAATGGAAATTGTATAGGGTGTTATTTCTCTGATTATGTGCTCAGCTTTTTATTGTCTGTATATAGTGGGCTCCTGTTTTTCTTGAATGGATCTTGTATCCTGACACTTTGCTGAAG